CTAAAGCAAAGAGTTACACGGAGCAAAAGAGTCACCCTTTTTTCTTCTTTTACCAGACGGAGAATAAAGTTATAAAATGTTGACTTAAAAGTCGAAATATTATGATAATAAAGTCGAACTAGCAAAATTATGAGATTAATCTAAGAATATGATGAGATTCATCTCAAAATGTTATGAGCTTAATTTAAAAATATATTATGTATTATTTAATCTCAAAATATTTTGGACCCTGGGAGGAGATCCAGCGCGGACCAGCGCTGAGACCAATGCAGACCCGAGGAGAGACTGGAGTGACCAGCACACAGAAACCAGCGCGGACAGGAGAGACCGCATAGACTGTAGTGACCTGACTGGAGAGACCGGTGCGCAGAGACCAGCGCGGACCGAAGATAGACCGCATAGACCAGACTTGAGAGACCAGCGCGGACCCGTATGGATCCAGGAGCATGCAGCACGGACCCGTATGGAGAGACCAGTGCAGACCCGTATATGGGAGAGACCAGTGCAGACCCGTATAGATCCATGGGAGAGACCAGTGCAGACCCGTATATGGGAGAGACCAGTGCAGACCCGTATAGATCCATAGGAGAGACCAGCGCAGAGACTCAGCGCGGACCCAGTAACCTCCTGCAGCAGCAGTATATATGCCGTTGTTCTGTGGCCCGTGGATAAAGAAATGCCCCCTATAAATAGGAAGGGGTCACTAATACACGGCAAGATTTCCAATGTATTTGATAAAGCGTTGGCACATTTCATTTCAAAATGAATTAAAAAGTAGGCCAGATCTGCAGTGAAAAAGGCGGTATATAAATAAAGATTACTAATAAAGATTACTACAAATAAATAAATACATACATCGATATGACGGACATATCACTGGAATGTTGTATTTTTATTCAACTTCACCAAAGAGGACAACCCCAGCGTGTGAACATGTCGGCACTGAATGCGTACGAGTGCTCCTGAGGACTCGTAGGATTTGTACTTGCCCAAGAGAAATTCTGGTTACGAGAAATATTCGTGAATGCCACTTTCTTCGTAAAAACCGCGTAAGTAGGATTTACGTACAAATCTGTTCCTAAGAACCGTTCGTGAATGAGGCCCATTGTTTCAACTGAAGCTGATGACATTTTGCCAATGAGTGTATTTGTGATGCGTGCTAATGAATTGGTATATCTAACAAGGATCTCTCATGTAGTCCCACTGTGGAATGGCTGAAATATATCTTACAATTTTGTATCGTCAAAGATGTAGCCCTGCATCCATATGTGCGCTACTGCGCGAGCTTTTCTGCTTCTTAAGATGTTTGCATTGTGTTGAAGACGTAAGGCACAGGAGACATGGAGAAAAAAAAACCTGATTATTGTACATTCATCAGAAATCATATACACAATTTAAGACATTTCTACTGTTTGCAATAGTTTTATACAGCAATATAAAGCAATAACGGATGGATTCAATCTGTTTTGAGCTGGGATTACAATATTGTATTTGTAAAGACACATAGGCATAATTTAACTGCAAAGCATTGCATGTTTCTAAATGCTGGAACTGTGGATCTTACTTTTAAATCGTCCTCTGCCAAGGCCCTCTTTCAATTACATTATATTGCTGATCTTCACTTTTGGCAACAACGGTTTGTTTAAACATTTTAATTAAATTTCTATCCGTGACTTGTCACAAATTCTGTACATGTCGTCTTTAAAATGTCCTGTTAAATGCTTGCATAGTTTAATACATCACAAATCAATACATGAAATAGGATCAAGCAGAGATTTTACTGTGCACTTGTCATTATCAAACTCTTAGACGGCGTAAAGTTTTAATGGTGACATTTTGGCCCAGAGCTTACGAGTCTTCTGGCTCATGGTGTTTCCATCTGAGTCCAACTCTGATTTAAACATCTTGAGACAACTATAATTTATTTGAAAATCAGCTTTTTTTGTCTGTGGATCTTCTCAAGCTTCGACCCAGATCCGTTGCATTGCTCAAGAAATCATACTTTATAAAGCGCTTTTCAAACATTCAGTTTAGACCTGCACCAATAATAGCAATTCATTCAAAACCACAATGTGTTTGTAGTCACAATTAGGCAACCGCCAAACCTGCAAATATTTAGATTAACTTCTACAGCTGTTTAGTTTTGAAACAGACTTGATATGTATGAGTGTAAATCTGTTATTTATCTTAATTTGAGAGCATTTTGCACAGTGGGATTTGAGTTTTCATTTACATTAAAGAAATAGGATTCTGTTTCCCTCTTTCTTTGAACATTAGTTTCATTTTTTACCCTTGTGCAAAGACCACCTCCAGAGGATATTTTGGGGATACTCAACATGTTATAAAGTTATAAATTAAAATGTAAAAAAAGGTGCGTCTTGAACTTACTTGATTGAATTGCAATGCCAATTTCAAATGTATTCAATGTATTTATAACAAATGTTGTCTTTGAATGCTAGTTTAATTGCAATTGAATTTTTTGCAAACAAATGATACAGTATACGATAGTTATATTACCATTTTCTATTCTTAAAGGAGACATGTTTGAGCCTTTTAACAATGTTGTAACATTGCTCCCTCACCTCAACAATTCACAACAGTATCAGGAACTTCTGACGCACACATGTAAATCTGGCTCTCCTGTCACAGTCGTGTAAATGTATGATGTCATTGTACCACTATGACATCACACTCAAAGCCGTTTTCTCTGTTCAAAAGAAAAATATTGCCCGTAAATTTGTCTTGCCAATTTCTCAGTTGAAATGTTGGTTCTTTACCTTCACATTTTGATGAAAAATAATAATAATTAAATACATCCTCTGGTGGTGGCATATGGCATTATAAAGGAAATCATTGCTTGACCTTCCTTCTTGTTTCGCTATATATTGTCAACTTATTCTATATTATTTCTCCTTCCAAAACATGAAATGAAGGGAAGTAAATAGTCTATCATTTTTAAAGGCCAAAAATAATGCATTTCTTTGAAAGCATGAACATTTTCTGTGGCCCTGATGAACCTCATAACTCCTTGTGGCCCACACAGAGGGGCTGGCACGGACTAAAAATGGCCGTGCGTCTGGGCGCTTTATCATGTGTGGTTTGTGTCACAGAAAGACACTCATCTGGAAAGGTCAGAGCTCCGGTAAAAGATTTAAATCAGCCTCAGAAGAAAGATTCAGGCTGACAGGCGTGACCAGGAAACTGGTAAATAAGAACACAAAGCCATCATAGTGTGAGGAGACAGCCGCTCTGCCCTGCACAGCACCATAATTAGAGCAGCGCACAGGTGAGACAACTATCACTGGAGAATGAACATGACTTGATTTGTTAGTACCAGAACCAGAAGAATTTTGAAACTACTATAACTCCCAGAGCAGTCCTTTTGACAGCTAACATTTTAGTCAATGGACTTCTAAAAAAAATCCCAAAAAGAATTAAGCAATTTGTGTTTTTTGTCTTTAACAAGTGCCAAAGCCTGTTAATATAACTTGATATACAGAAAAGACAGCGTGTTGAAACTGCTGTGAAGTAAATAAAGTGTGGCTATGGTAACAAGCACTTGCTCCATGCTCAGATTGCTCTGAACCAGTGAAGGACCAGCACCTTGGGAAGAGTTGCTGTCACTGCTGTAGAATGTTGCTGAGTGACAACAAATGGCTTGGTGGCACAGTGGTTAGCACTCTCACACAGTGAGATTACAGTCCCTCTAATTATAGAAGCCATAGATTGTATGAAGGTTGTATTGATTAATTGAATAGGGTCAGTATGTTTTCCAAATGTTAGTGGTTGTTTTTTTACTACTCCAGATGCACTAATTGTGATCAGTAATAAAGTCCTTGCATGTTTCTAGGTCTGTCTTGACAGGGTCACTGTGGCAGAACAAACTGTGACACACGGCTGTTGCTGTGTGAATAATCTTTGTTGTATTTGTTTTCTCCACATTCATCTGTTTGTGAGCGGCTTTGCCTTTTCTCGTTCATGATTATATTAATGCGGCCCTGGCCACGCCTTGTGATGAATGCACCAAACCAAAGCTTGTATTCAGCTGCTTTCCCGGACAAATGGGACCTTTGGAAAAAATCTGTTTCACTTTACTGTTTATTAATATACTTAAAAAGATGAATGTGAAATGGGTGAGCTTAGAGCCAGCTCTATGCATCATAATATGTTTGCTCACAGAAGTGAAGAATAATGAAACTATTTCCAGCCATAAAGCAACACTGAATAATCTGTCTGCCGCAAAGTGCTACAAAACCGGGACTATTACAAGGTGGTTACTTTTATAATCTTTTGAGAAGACAGGCTTATTATGGGCTCTTTTTGCAGTTAAACTCTTTTATTTGCTTTTGTTAGTCATTGTGTACATACTGGTAACAGTCAACTAACAATTATATGTATCCCATTTGTTATTTTCCTAGAAAACTTCATTTTGACTATTGCTAAATTGCTTACATGCTCTTAAACTTTCCACTTTACCAACAATTTCTGTCTTTGCATAGGGCAGTCTTACACACATTCATTTCCGATCATAAAACCATGTAGTGTGTTTTAACTCTGCCCCTTGGCTGAAAACATGATCAATCCTCTCATTTGGATATTCATTTTGTGGATATTACAGAGGGCCAATTTCTCTATTCTCCTGAGACTAATTGACTGTTCCCTTTGGCTACGAAATGCAAACTATGACATATGGACCCTGCTGCATTTTGTCCTTAGATTTGTTTAAATAGAGCGCTGTAATAGTAGCAATATGTCTAATGTCAACAACAGAAGAATCGGCAGTGTGTGTTGATGTGCGTTTGTTTGTTTGTGTGTGTGTTTGTGTATTTATATGGCAGACCTACAATAAAAATGACATAGAATATTACAATTTACACAATTGTAAATTTTTATAATTAACAATTAGAATATCCAACTAATATCCATTAGTTGGATATTCTAATGGGAGTCAAAATGCATTGGCGTAAGTTATAATTGTATATTTTTTCTCTGTTTTGTAGGCCTTCCCGTGTATATCCACTGGCATCTATGGTGAGTGACCTAACCTTTTCCATAATTATATTGCACCGTGCACTGAAATACACCTTTTATATTTTTGTCTCTGTTTTTCTCTTCAAATGTGTGTGTATTTAAAAAGCTTTAGACAAACTCACTTTTAGAATAAACACTACTTTCTCCTAGGTTCTGTTGGTTATACATTTTCAAATAGTGTCCTACATCTGAAATAGAGACTATGGAATCCTTCAGTTGTGCACATGGTGATCCAGAGCTTAAAGAATGTAATGAAAGAGCTTTAATCACTACACATTGGACAATGGTTTGAGGAAAAGAGTTCAGTGTTTGGATCTCATCCTGAAGTGTCAGGACAGATCTTAATCAATTGCTATACAGAGCTCTTTGTCTTTCCCAGGTCAGAATGTTTTCAAGATCACATAAAAGTTGTGGACACATAGAAACAATGACAATATGACGAATACTTTGTTTTTTGGTAGACGCTATGCAATTAAAGTCAGAAGATTAATACATTTATTAGATCAATCTAGTAACATTATGAGAATAAACTTGAAATATTATGACAATCTCAACATTTCAAGATTATTCTCATCTTTCTAAATTAATCTTATAGTATTGTGACTTCGACATTATTCTCATAATATTTGGCCCTATGCTCCGTTGTATGGACGGGGCCTGAGACGGGGCCTGAGACGGGGCCTGAGACGGGGCCTGAGACGGGGCCTGAGACGGGGCCTGAGACGGAGCCTGAGACGGGGCCTGAGACGGCATAATAGAAAAATTATGCAGACTTGTGACAAATCTTCTGCAAAATAATGAATATTCAGTTATTAACAGAATAAATAGAAGACACATCAATCAATCAATCAACGTTTATTTATAGAGCGTCTTTCCTACACAAGGCAACGCAAAGTCATCAAACATTAGAATCTGCATAAACATTAAAAAACACATTGAGAGCACAAGATATATAAAAAATATTTTTTTTTAAACTGAGCCACTGTTGCCCCAATACGATACTTCCGGCTGCCCCTGCTCTTAGGAGCGGGCGGCCCCGTGCTTCAGTCTTTTGGCTCGTCATGGCGGACCACATCAATAAGGTTCTGCTGCAAAATGGCAGAGGCCATTTGCTCGGGCGGCTTGCTGCCATCGTGGCCGAATAGGTCCTCCTGGGACAGAAGGTGGTGGTGGTGAGATGTGAAGGCATAAACATCTCTGGAAACTTTTATCGCAGCAAACTGAAGTACCTTGCCTTCTTGCGGAAAAGGATGAACATCAATCCCTCACATGGACCGTACCACTTCAGAGGACCGAGCCGCATCTTCTGGAGGACTGTCAGAGGTATGCTTCTCCACAAAACAAAGAGGGGCCAGGCTGCTCTGGACAGACTGAAGATGTTCGATGGTATCCCCCCACCATACAATAAGAGGAAGCGAATGGTTGTTCCTGCAGCCCTGAAAATTGTAAGTTTGCGCTCTTGGGCCGTCTGGCACACGAGGTTGGCTGGAAGTACCAGGCAATAACAGCCACTTTGGAAGAGAAGAAAAAGGAGAAGACAAAGATCCGCCACACAAAGACCAAGACGGTGACCAAGCTAGCCAGGCTGGCGGAGAAAAATGTGGAGAGCAAGATTGCTAAATACACAGATGTCCTCTAACAATATGGCGTCCTTGTATGAACTGGCTGCTCTTGCCTAATAAAGACTTGTTTATGTGGCTATTGAAATTTAAGTCTGAGTCCATTATTACTCCTAGATTTCAAAATATCAAAACTATTTGCATTACCTTCTCTGAAATATGCCTCGACCTATCCAGAGGCATAGGGCGCAGGGGAGAAGACTGCATTATGTACAGCGCTGACTGGGCCACCACTTATTACTGTTGTTGCCAGTGGGAGCTTGTCATGGCTCCAGCAGCATCAAAGCCACGGGTCGACGGAGCGGAGGGGGGAATTAAACAAGTCTTCAATAAATAAACAGCTTAGCGCGCCTCACAACTGCTTCTGCATAGAACAATAGGGCTGATTAGGGCTGGAGATCTCCACTCAGCACACGGCACTTTTCAAAGGAAGTACAGTGCAGTACAGTGATGTATTCTCGACAATGTGCCCCTGGAGTAACACAGGAGGACGGGTTTGCTCTCATGTCAGCCTTTTTGACGTTTCCTGTAAGTTCGAGATAACCTTAAAGGTCATCCGCCATCTCTGCAATGTAAACAAACGCTTCTTAGTATGAAAGGCACATTGTTGTGATCTCTCACTTTCACCCCATCACTGTATAAAACAAAGAAGCATATGAGATAAGGCTGTGGTTTAACAAATTCCCCCTGTACCTGTATGTATACTTTAATATTATAGCAGTATGTGTGTGTATTTCAAAGCAGAAATAACATGTGTAGGGTATGAATTTTGTATGTGGAGAGGGGAGGCTTTGTATCAGTTTGTGTCGGTATTAAACGCCGCAAACGTAGTCCTAAGCCTCGCCTACTCCGGGTTGAATGGATCTAAATTTTAAGTAAGAGGGGCACCAGCAGAAAAGTCTGCACAGATCCATTCTGCCTCGATCAGTCTCATAATCTGATAGGCCTTGAGCTCTATATCGGCCAGGGATATCATGAATTATACAAAGTATACACTGACGACTCTTAAAAGTTAGCGTGGGTTTATTAACTACATATAGAAACGGGAACGGTAACCGGGAGGGATCACACAAGTATGATAAGTCACATGAACAGGAATGTCAGAAACACATCACCATCACACACAATACAACTCCAGCAAGTCTTACTGTTACTGCCAAGTCCCAAAAGTGAAGATGCTTTACACCCGTTTGGGTCAGGCGGGACAATCACTTCAGTCTTCCTCGCGCACGGAGAGCGGGCACGCACACACTCCAGTCTTTCCCACACACGGGAGCAGGGAGCGGGGATCGGTCCCGGGAAGCCCAGAGGTGGCTTGAGGCGCGATGGTCCACGGTGCTCCTTTTTGGTGGGAGTTGGAGCGCAGTTGCGCCGCTGCGGGACAGGCAAGTCGAGTTCAGCTCGATAGGGAAAAGGATCGGGCAGCGAGCTCCAACCTGCGCCTGGGTTGAAGTTGTGGGCCCCTGGATCGCGCAGGGGAGTGGGCCGCGCTCCAAGACGCGGCCCACTGGCCCAGAGAAAGTTTCAAAGAGAGCTCCCAAAAGGTTCACAAGCAAAAGTTGAAAAAAAGTTATTGTGTCTCTGTTTTTGTTCCGGCTCTGGGGGCGTGTCTTCTGACGTCGACTTTCCGCGCCTCCAGAACTCCTTATCATAGTTTTAACCACATACACGTTACTTAGACATAAACACACAACACACCTTGTTCACAGACAATGGTACACACGTTTTCTGATTTAAGATGTTAGCAAAACAACATATTCATCCGTGGTTTCAGTTGTCCGTCTCAGGTGTATTGGCGTCCCGTGTCCACTGGGGGGGGTGGTGGAACGCCGTTGCCGGCCCATGGGTGATGTCTATGGCTTTGTTTGAGGCAAGACCCACTGCCCCCCTTTGAACTCGCCGGGGGTGGGGGCCAGAGGTGTGCTCTGGGGTCGATCACTTTGAGATGACTGCTGTATCTATGTGAGCCATTGTGGTGCTCTATCCGACCTCCATTGCCTTAGATCAGTGTCTCCCAAAGTGGGGTCCGCGGCCCCCTGGTGGGCCGCGAGGGTACTGCAGGGGGGCCGCGGGAGGTCATAAAAAAAATAAAAAAATAATATAATTATTTAATGTTAAATGTATAATGTTTTGTTTGTAATATTAAAATATTTGTGTTCATTATTTGACTTGAATAATCCACTGTAATCATTTTTGTATTACAATGTTTGTAGCAGAGGCTATTTCCCCAAAATAAAATAACCAGAAGAGCCTATTCTTAATGTTGTCTTCTTGGTTATTATTTTGGGGGGCCACGCAGACCCGTCAGATTTTTAAGGGGGCCTCGGTGTTACTGAGTTTGGGAATGGCTGCCTTAGATGTTCCGAGCCGTGTGTTTTTGTTATCTCACACACAACCGGGTCATCGGGGTCAACATTTGACCTTACACATGGTCAAATGTTATTCAATGTATGATTCATTTCATGATATACAAATTAACTTCCCAAAGCATAATGCTAATGTAAAGAAAACATAAAACACACTCTATCTTTAATTATCTAGTCAGAAGTTATTATTCTGTAGAGTGACAAGGCACTCCATTGTAAATGCCCTTTATCACCAGTTAGGTTCACATTTTCTATGGGCAGAATTTTTAGGCGCAGCCTGGGGCCGGGACAAAATTTAATGTCTCTTGTTTGCTATCAATGATTTCTTGTTGGCTTCAACAAACCACAGACTTTGGATGAGGATACAGTGACGAGTCTAAAGGCAAAACCTTACATTTGTTGTGGGCATTTGTCCTCTCACTTCACGCATGGGAGCGGGGTGGCCACACGAGGAACATATTGTACATTTAGTGATGGGGAAACCGAATCACCTGTAGGAAACATTTGCAGATGCGGGACGAACTTGACAACTCCACAGAGAAAAGGTGGAGGTGGAATCGTGGAATCTAGGACCTTCTTATTGTGACGCACAAGCTCTAACCACTGCGCTGAACTGCCCATGCAAGTCTTTAGTCACTTTTTGTGTTGTTTTTATTCTTATCTCACATTGTCATGCATCTATTAATATCTTTCTTTCTTGACCCATTTCCAACAAAACAAATCCTCTACCTGAAGCAGCATGACAGAGAGGCATCAGGAGCAAGTTATCCTCCGGCTTTGTGCCGAGAAAAACAGATTTGTCAGGGAGGCTAATGCTAATTGACGCTCTCTCACGCCTCCATATTTGGAAGAAAGTCTGTCCACTCTGACAGATGATGGCACTAATGGAGGTGGGGTTGTCGTGTGTGTGTACCTGAGACGCTCTCGAAGAAAAATGAGGCCTCACACCGCACTGACAGTCCAATCCCTCAGTCCGGCCCATTAACCACAACAGAACCCGGGTCTGGATACTGTT